TTCTTATGATCCTTTTTTAGCCTGTCATATAACAGAGCTAAATCTCGAGACAAATTTTTGTAGAATGGGGAAATGTAGTTTAAACTTCCCAGAAACCGCTGAAATTGCGTCTTATCTGTAATAATATCAGGGAATTTCGATGCGAATTCAATAGATCGTTGAATAGGAGTCATTTTTCCTTGACAAATGAAATGACCCAAAAATTTAACATCTGTTTGATAAAGACTTATTTTAGGTTTAGATATGACCAAACCATTTTGAATAACTATTTTCTTAAAAATGTCTAAATGCTTAATATGCATTTCAAGAGTCTTGACCTGTTATCTTCTCCTTTTCTGATATGTTTGATGAAGACTGAGTGATGTCTTTTAATACATAGAGATTATAAGAAAATATTTTTTATTTAAATCAGTGTCATGGTTCTCTTTCATTAATTATAAGTCCTTTTGAAGCAATACCTACTTAAATACAATACCCTTAAGATCTGTTTGGTTATGCCTCAATTCAGGGTCAGGTAATAAAAGGGTGTTTTGTGTAAGCTTAACAAATACTAGACACAAGATATTTTGTAATTTCTGTCTTTTCAGTTGGTTTCTAAATACCTATGATATCTTGTGCAAATGCATTCATCCCCAAAGGCATGCTAGCTTCTGTTTCCGTTTAACTCTTGGATATCACTAGATTGATATTGCCATTACTAAACCTTTGCTTGATATATACACAGATACCATTTTCTTAGGGTTTAATATAAATTTTGTATGTTGGCATAGAGTATAGTTTTGACATTGGGATGAGTTGATGTCATGACCCAAAGTACACCCTAGAGATGACATGACGTATAAGACTCGGAGAGACCCTACACAAGCAACTTGGCACACATACAACACAACATAATAGAAAATAGTAAGAGAATCTCATATAATGAAAGAGTTTGGCATAAAAGAAGAAGTGACATCATAGTCTCGATAAGCCAATCTAGTACATCAAAAGTTGTTGGGACGTAACCTATACAACACATACAATATCAGAAAACAAAAGACATAAAAGAATATAAACATAGGTGAAAAGGTCCTCGGAGCATGAGGACTCACCAAGTAGCCCAAAACATTAAGTTCTTTACCCTTTTCCCATTTCCAAGGTGTTATAGTTGAAGAGTTGCCTAGAATGTGGAAAAGACTGGCTGTTTTGGCTCGGAAAGCCTATTTATTTCAGATTTTCGTTTTAAATTTATTTATGGTTTGTAATAATTGTAATGAATGATGTATTAAGAACACGGGGCTGCATTTAATCAAGAGTGGGAAAATTTATGTGCTATGTGTTTCTTTTTCAATTTGTATTTCTTCTCTTTTAGTTGTTCGATTTTCTCCTGTTTCCATCCCTCTCTCCCTATCTCTGTCCATATCGCTCACCTGAATCATGTCTTCCTGCAGGGAAGCCTTTACAGAGGTCAGTCACGGAGAGAGAAACCTAGAGGACGTAATCAGGGGTTAACTCAACAGAAAAGACAAGAAATAAGAGAGGCTTTTGAGCTTTTTGATACAGACAACTCTGGTAATAAAATAAACCTTAAGGAATCCATACTAGATGCAGTTTTTTGATGGTTAAACTTCTTTCTGACTCTTAATTTTTGCAACTTATTTAGGAACCATTGATGCCAAAGAGCTCAATGTTGCTATGAGGTTTGTGATACTTCTTTGCTATTCCCTGTAACGTCCTGGATATCTGATTAACAACCTAAAACTTGACTTTGTGTCTTTGTGATCCTCTACTTTCTTGCACCTCTCTGTCTGTGGTGCCCTTACCACTTCATTTTTATTGATAAAAACTTGTATCATTTGTTACAGGGCTCTGGGTTTTGAAGCAACTGAAGAGGTATTGTATATGCTAGTTCATATATTTGTTTCTGATAATTATATGCTACTGTATATTTCTGTTTAACAACATATTTCATATAGTGAAGATACTGAATCACAACAATATATGTACTAGTATCTGAAGCATATAACTTAAACTCATGAGATGCAATGATTTACTTTTTGTCCTATTACAGATGGTGTTTTTCTTGCATTATGACTGCCAACTGAAGATTATCTGATTTTCCTTGTAGGGTATGAAGGAAAATTTGGTGCTTTTGCTTTTTCATATCCAAGTTGCAAATTTATGTACCGTGTCCCCCTCCTCCTCCCTCCACCCCTCCCCTTGCATCAACCATCCGATACA